CAGCAGCGACCCCTGCTAGCGGCCTCATCCAAAGGGTGCTTTTGTTTGTGCCACCTCCCTGCGCTCCTCAACTCAGGGCAGGCAGTCTTCCAAAGAGCGCATGAGTGTGCCGAGGTTGTTGTCACAAGACCTGAGAAAATGTGACAAACGGTCTCGGTTTGAAGCAGGAACGAGTAAGTGGTATCCATCCAAAATGCACAAGGAGACAGGGGAGTTGAACAGGTGGGTTACAGGCAGGTGGGGCCTGGTCTGGCAGAACGCAGCCTAGAGAATACAGGCGGAAGCAGGACCCAGATGAAGTAGTCGGGCTGAGAGCCTCGAACTGCGTCCTTAATGCACTGGCGAGCCATTAAGTTCTGGGGACAGGGGAGGGTCGTCATCAAGATGTGTGCATCATGTTGAGATTTGCATTTTTACCACATTGTTCAGGCCCTTCTGTGAGTGAAAGTAACCCTGGAGGCAGGGATGACTCATGACTCTTGGCATCCTTTTTGTTGTCTTGTACTGTTAAATTTTGCTTAGACGTCAGCTGCCTGTGAGCAGAAGCCCTGTGTCATGCCTGTTATATCCCTTATGAGATTTTAAGTGCTGCGGCCATAGTCAATACTAAGTAAACATCCATTGAATAAATACTGCAAAACCTAAAGCAGTTCGCTATGTAAACATAAGACAGATAAGTAAAATAAGAAAATCTTCTTGTACCTGTGTATGCAGAAGGTAAAGAAAAGGATTATTGATGTTTTGTTGCTAAAGAAACAAAGGAAAAAATAATCGGTACAATTTGATCTGTGTGCTACTTTGGTTTATTCTGAATTTGGTGCTTTCATTATTATAACTGTATGAATGCAATTCACTGGCCATACAAGACTTTTCTCGGCCTCAACTTCCTGTCCCTAGTGACAAGAATGTTGCTTTCCTCCTGCAGTAGGGAAGACATCTTCCATATGGATATTTCATCTCCTTTTAGGAAGAAAAAGAGACCAGAGCGCTCCTCTTACACCTGCTGTTTCTCAGGTGCCTTTAGCTCAAAATAGTCTTTATGCCAAAGTGGCTTATTTTGGGGTGACACATTCCGCCATCCTTCATGTTCATAGTAGGTATTCTAACAGTTTTTATCTCCTTGAAAAATCCTCTCTCTTCTGCCTTTTCTCCTCTTCCAGTCTGATTTCAGCTGCTCTTGGGCCTTAGGATTTTCCTCTCCATTATCCTGAAGACTTCTTTGCCTTTTTTTTAGTCCATTTTCGGGGCTTTTTTGTTTTTGTTGTTGTTTTTGAGTCGGAGTCTCACTCTGTTGCCCAGGCTGGAGTGCAGTGACATGATCACGGCTCACAGCAGCCTCGACCTCCTAGACTCAGGTGATCCTTCCACCCCAGCATCCCGAGTAGCTGGAACTATAGGCACACACTACCACACCTGGCTAATTTTTTTTTTTTTTTTTTTTGTAAAGATGAGGTTTCACTTTGTTGCCCAGACTGGTTTCAAACACCTCAGCTCAACTAGTCCTCCTGCCTCAGCCAAAGTGCTAGGATTATAAGCCTGAGCCACCACGCCTGGTTACCTCTTTCTTCTATTAGAAGCTCTGCTTTCTGGGTCTTCCTTTTTCTTGTTTACTCCTTCATTTGGCAGCGGCACATCCTCCAGAAACATCCTGAGAAAGTGTGGGAAGTAAGTTTTCTGAGATCTTGCATTTTAAAAAATGCCTTTGTCTTCCCTCTATTTGATAGAAATCTAGGTTAGATATATTTTTCTCTTACAGTTTTGAAAGCATTGCTCTATCTTCTTCCAGTTTCCAGAAATGCTGTTGAAAAGTTCAATGCTGTTTTGAATCTAGATCTTTATTTTGTATCCTGTTTATTCCTGTATGGTAACTTTTAGAATCTTGTTTTTGTTCCTTGAGTTCATGATGATGTGTCTTACTAAAAGAAAATTTTCATTCATGTGCTAAGTACTTAGCGAGCCCTTTCGATGTATAACAGGAGTGACAACTATGGCCAACACTCTGTGAGCCAAATCTGACCCACTGTTGTTTTAATAGATAAAGTTTTATTGAAACACAGCTGCATTCATCCATTTACATATTGTCTATGTCTGCAGCTAAGTTGAGTGTGACAGGGATTATATGTGGTTCGCAAAACTCAACATACCTGTGGACATTTATAGAAAATGTTTGTCAACCTCCAATCAAGAAAAGTAAGAATTTTAATTCTGATTTTTTTTTTTTTTATTTCTTTATTTTTAAGATTTTCTTCCCTATTTTCTGTGTTCTCTCTTTCTAGAACTCTTGCTGGTAGGTTACAAAATATATCCAGCAGGGTCTCTAAAATGTTAGGTCAGACCTGCTGGGATGGGGTTGTGCGGTCCGGTGCCACCTGAAAGATGCAAAGACTTGCACAAAAGTAAGATTGGAAAATATGGTTTATTTAGAAAGTAATTTAGAGAAAGAGAAGAGAGAGAGAGAGCCACCTCCCTAAGGTAGGGGAAGGAGCCAAAGCCAAGAAACATGGCAGCCGTAGCTCAAAGAGCCACTTGGACACACCAGAGTATAGCAAAGCAATGGCGAATGGCTTCTTGGGGTCAAATGCTTTTAAACATTCCCTTTTGATGGGGGCTGGTCGTTCGGGTGGTTGGGTGGTGGGCTGCTCCACGTCATCTCGAGGGGCCAGGTAGCACAGGTACTGATGTCAGATGATGGACAGCAGGCAGAGGGGTGGGTCAGTCACATGATTGCTGCCATGGTGATGGGGTCTGTCTGTGTCATGAAGGTCACAAAGGGCTGATTAGGTTAACTTGGGTCTTATGGGTGGCGGCAAACACATGAAATAGAAAAGCTAATTAGTACAAAACAAGCTGATGGGATTGTAAAACAATTATCAGTAGCTATCTTCTGAGAAACCAGTTCTGTCCTTGACTAGCGATTAGAGGATAAAACAAAGTGAACTGCTCGAAAAACATGACACCTAGGCAGCGTTAAAATGGCTGCTCTTTGGCTAGACTGACTCCAGGTTGTGTCCTTTCACTTGCTATTTAGCTGCTGAACCTCCTGGATTGGCTTTTGATTGTTTTTCTCTCTGTTTTTGTTTTAATTTGTCCTTCTGGGAAATTCTCTTAACTTTATCTCCCAGGCTTTCTATACATTTTTTATTTCTGCTATCTTATTTTTTAATTTGGCATAATTTTTTTGGTTTGTTTTTGAATTAACCTTTTCATTTTAATATAAAACACAAATATCAAAACACACAAAACTAGTATATAGCTTAATAAATTATTACAAAGCAACCACTCTCCCTGTCATACCTGAGAGAGGAAGGGGCAATTGCTGAGTTATGTGGAATAAGTGAGAAGATCTGGAAAGATCTAAGAACTTCTTAGTTCCTTTTCAACAGTTCCATTTGTTTTTAGGCCCACCTTCAACATTACTTCCAGATATACCTATTGTTTCCAATTGCCATACTTTTTGTGGATGCTGCAGTAGAAATAAAATACTTGCGTCTGGCCACACCATGCTGAACACACCTGATCTTGTCTGATCTCAGAAACTAAGCAGGGTTGGACCTGGCTTAGTACTTGAATGGGAGAAATTACATATTTGACTTGGATTTTCCTGGGTCTGCTAAACAGTTATCATCTGTCTTTCTACTTTCTAAAATGCTATTGCTATTGTCTTCTCTCTCATTCTCTTTGGAGACAGAGAGAGAGGCAGAGAAAGAAGAGGAGAGACAGAGAGGGGGGAAAATAGAGAGGCTCTTTACTATAGTTTCATGGTGTTTTGGGAAATAAAAGAGAGGTTAAGGCATGCATTCAATTCACCCGAAATACTTTCACTTATATTGTGCAGTGAATCTCAGGGAATTCACTCTTACAAGTAAATTTTTCAGTGACACATTTTTGTTTGTTTGTCCAAAGAGAAGTTACTGTTGCTGGTCTGAAAGGTCACAAGTCTTTTGTGCCAACTCCATCTGTGTTTAGCCCAGTTCTTTTCTGTTGCTCTACAGGCCCATATGCATAAAGTTTATTATATTTATCTTTTGTGAACAGGGATTAGAACATGAGATGTCATATTGAAATGCCCTATGTTAAGATGTATGGGATAATCCCTAGAACAAGTAAGGAAATAATTCAAAAAAAGTGAGAAGCCGGGCTCGGTGGCTCAGCCTGTAATCCCGCACCTTTGGGAGGCTGAGGTGAGTGGATTGCCTGAGCCCGCGGGTTCGAGACCCGCCTGGGCAGCAAGACCTCATCTCTACAATAAATCAAAAAATCAGCCAGGCGTGGTAGCGTGCACCTGTCATTCCAGCTACTCGGAAGGCTAAGGCAGAAGGATCGCCGGAACCCAGCAGGTTGATGCTGCGGTGGCTGGGAGCAGCCACTGCACTCCAGTCTGGGCGACAGAGTGAGAATCCAACTCAAAAAAAAAAAAAGAATAGTGAGAAATCATGACAGAAAGTAAAAGGCTACATGAAAAAGTCACTTACCATAAAAGAAAATAGTAGTAAAGAAGCAACAGAGGAACAAAAAAGACATGAGATATATAGAAAACAAAAATTAAGTTGGCAGACATAACCAACTAAATCAATAACATTAAATGTGTGTAGATTAAACCATCCAATCAGATGGCAATGATTATCAGGATGGATTTTGAAAACACAAGATCCAGCTATATGCTGGGTAAACAAAATAGAGAATAGAAAAACAACAGACAAAAAATCAGTGAAATCAAAAGCTGTGATTTTTTTTTTTTTTTAAAGATCAACAAAATTGACAGGTCTGTATCAGGTTGACCAAGAAAAAAGAGAAAAGATTCAAATTACTAGAAACATAAATTAAAGAGAAGACAGTACTACCAACCTTGTAGAAATAAAAATGATTATAAAGGAATTCTATGGACAATCATATGTCAATAAATCGAACAACTTAGATTAAATGGACAAATTACTAGAAAGGAATGCTCTAGAACATGAAGAAATGATCACTGACTAATTGACATTCTGATGCATTTACAGGCTGCTACCTTCTCCTCTTAAGGATGCCGTGGAAGTATCAACCTGGAGAAGATGCTACACCATGCAAGAGGTGAACTCTGCCCTTAGTAAAATCCAACTGGTGGGATATTCACAGAAAATTGTGAGTGTTAATATCATTTTTAAGTGATTCATGAGTGCTTTCAATTCATATTTTTCCTTGAAAGGATCCTATAGCTCCCTTTTTATACCATTCAGTTGCTGAGAACCTTGTACTAGTACAAGGAGAAAAGACAAAGCATCTGTTATTTTCCTCCAACCCTCCCAGGTTTTTGTTGGTACTCTTTGTAACCCTCCCATTCCATCACCAGTTAGCATTCGATTGGCCAGCATTAGTGGGTCAGGAAAAAGGCACATTATCCTATTCATAGTAGAACATAATTAGCATTAGGGCTATTCATACTAGAACAGTGGACACTACTTTACAGATTTTGGACACATGAAATAGGAAACAGAAGCAGTTTGGCAAGTATGACTTTTGAGCTCTGACCTAAATGAGAAGGATTCCCATTTTCTCTGTCAACCTGTGCCGGGAGCCACTCAGTACAAAACAACCAAGAGCCTAAACCTAACCTAAAAGAAAAAGGAAAGCCAACGTATGTGACTCTTTTGTCTATTTGGTAATATAATCTGCGTTTTAACGAATGACTCTTGTGTGCCTGAGGACAGGGAACAAGCTGAAGCTCTCAGGTGACAAGTAGCAATGATAGGATTGCTTTTTGTGTCTGTCACATGATCTCCATCGTCTTTCTGTTTTTCATTAAACTTTCTGGTTTACTATAATTTCTGTATGTAAACTGAGAAGGATATTTCTGTTGTTTTTTTCCCTGCAAACTTCTCTGGGTGACTGTGTCACTGAAAGCTCATGATACATTCTTTCTGTGGTTCTTTTTTAGGAGCTCTTTGGTGCAGTCCTGGTGACTCCTCTGAGCTCTGGCTATGCCCTGGGAAGCTCCAACTGGATCATCCAGTCTCATTATGAAAAAGTATCTTATGTCTCTGGATCCTCCTTGCTTACCACACACCCCCAGGTAATTATAAATCCTCTATTAACAACTCAACTTTTTGTTTGCTTAACTCAAATGCAGAATGCATTCAGAGTAACGCCAACCATTTTTAAATTTTCCTAATTTGTTTTCTGTACATATTCTTTAAGGGCTGGGCTCAGTGGCTAAGCCTATAATCCCAGCACTTTGGGAGGCCGAGGTGAGTAGATTGCCTGAGCCCGCGGGTTCGAGACCTGCCTGGGCAACTTGGCGAGACCTCATCTCTACAATAAATCAAAAATTAACCAGGCGTGGTAGCTCGCGCCTGTAGTTCCAGCTACTTGGAAGGCTGAGGCGGAAAGATCGCTGGAACCCAGCAGGTCAAGGCTGCAGTGGCTGGGAGCGGCCACTGCACTCCAGTCTGGGTGACGGAGTGAGACTCCAACTCAAAAAAAAAAAGAAAGTGAGACTTTTTTGAGTCCCAACATTTGGGATTGCTGGTTTCCCTGAAAGAATCCTGCTGTGTTCAGGGTTACCTCTAGGAGCCTGAGACTTCCAGGTCCTTCCAAAGACCACAGCTTTATGTGGGGCACAGATGATTATTCATTTACTCAGCAGATATTAACTATTTACCACTTACCAAGGGCCAAGGGTCAAGTGTCAAGCACTCACCTAGGTACCGGGGTGTCTGTGATGGCCAACAGGATCTTATGTTCGGTTGAGGTATGGGGAGGTATGGGGAGAAAAGATGTCGTATAGAAGACAACCCAATACATAAACGAGCAAGGTCATTTCACATGGTGATACAAGTACTGAAAGCACTTATTTCTCGACTGATGGAGACTGGCTTAGGTTGGATGGCCAGGGAAAGCCTCTGGGGAGATCTCATTTGACCTGAGACCTGAAGGAGGCAGCCACGTGCAGCTGTGAGGGTTTGCATTACAAGGGAATGGCTGGTGAAGGGCCCCTAAAGCAAGAGCAAGTTGGGCACGTTTGAAGAGCACAGAAGGCCACTGTGGCCACAGCTTGCAGGGTGTAGTCAGCAGTGAGGTCCACGAGAGTAGCAGACACCACATCATGTAAGGCACTTCAGGCCATGATGAGGAATTTTGGTTTTATTTTAATGTGTGGAGGTGTTAAGTTAGTCATTCGTTAGTCATATTTGACAAGAAGCCAACTTCATAAACATTGATGTGAATGTAATATTTTTTTTTCAGGTAATTGTAAAGACCTTATTGTTCATTTCTTAAATTCTAGTTATTTCCATTTTTATAAGAGGGAGTAGGGAACATTAGAAAGTTAGCTGATGGATATAGAGATACATGAATAACTTATATAGGTCCATATCCCACTTATCTATCTATCTATTTTTTAACATAGCCTCAAAATTTTATTGTCTTCATAATAAAAGCTGTAATAATAAGCTGAAACTTAGGACTGAATCACTTGGCCCTTTCTCCTCTCACCTCTTCCTGGCTCAGAATGCTTACATCTCTAGTAGCCAGCCTTCTCTTAGATCTGCAGTTGAACTCAACACACTTAAGACTCAGTGCAATCTTCTGCGTAGTTTTAGCCTTTTCCCAGAAAATTGGCTTCATCTCCCCACATAGTCATGCTTCTTGTCATAAAACCACTTTCCCTGGGCATACAGAGAGTCCTCACCCTTGTTGAACTGTGTCTCTGGGTGGGGTTGGTGCTGGCCTGACTTTCTTATAAGAAGTCCAGTGGGTTTGAAGAACATTCTCCATGCCATAGGGAGCATTGTTGGCACAGAAAGAACTATTTGTCTTTCATTATAAATAAAAATTGTATATATTTATGGTATACATGATGTTATGTATACATTGTGGAATGGCCAAATCAATGAATGAACATATCCCATTTTAATATGGGAAGAGAATGCTATGTTCTCGTCTAAAACAATGCGTTGCTTCTGAGCTTCCATTCCGTGTTGTTTTTTTATACCTTCTTTTATACCCAAGTTTCATCTCAAGGTCTAGAGGGACAAGTTGCTATTTTTTCCTATAGCTTGCAAAATTCTGGGCCCTTCCTGCTTATTGAAATCAAAAGCACATCAATGTCATCATAATCTTCTTCACTGAATCAAAATTTTTTGTGGGCAGCTTCTATCATTCCTGATATATTCTTCCATAAAATACCAAAAGATGACTTGGCTGCCAACTCTCCTGATTTGTCCTACTTAGTTCAAAGCCTTTACAGTACAATTGATGTAATTTCCAGTAAATTATTCTTACAAGGTCCATAAATTTAAAAAGAAAATAAGGTCTTGGAAGTAATGAGCAACATACCTAAGTAATTAATTCTGATTTCTAGCTGGCAGCCTGTGTTACATGTTACAAAGAAAAATACTAGAATTTCCTTTACTCACATAATTGGATTCCAGATTGAATTAAGAGAAAAGTTTTGGTCTGAAAAATCTTGATAGTTTATCGCAGCTGTTAGCCTCTGTGTCCCGGGGACCAACTGTGGCCTACCACTTGTTTTTGTAAATAATATTTTGTCAGAATACAGCCATACCCATTTGCTTATGGGTTGTTTGTGGCATATTTCTTCTTTAAATGTTACAGAAAAAGTTTGCTAACCCCTCATCTACTTGAGTGGAATCCTCACTAACTGGGAAGAATATCACAGGCTGCTATCTAATAAACGTAGGGGAATTAAGCTTTGCATTAAGCTTGAGGCAATAAGAATGGAAAAACAACGGCAGACCTATGATTGAAGAAACATTTGTTGAATGCCCACTGTCTTCAGGGAAGGAAGAATAAAAGTTAAAGATTTCGTGTCTGGGTGACCTTGAGAGTGGTTATAATGACATAATCCACTTGACACAGGAAAGAGTTGGCAGAGGGACTGTTTATTTCAGAAGTGGGTAGTGGGTATGATGTATAAGATTTTGAGAGAACATTAGATGGAAATAAGAGGCTGAAATTTAGATGTGAAAGCAAGTCTGGAGACAAATTGGAGAGTCATCACAGTTTTTAAAGTATGTAAATTCTTTGGCTTAGGGCCAGAGACTGAGCTGTAGGGAACATTTACCAGTGAACAGTGTAGAAGGAAGAAAAATAGTCTTGTATAAGGATGGTTGGAGAGTTAAGGAGAACTAAGGCCCCAAAAGTACAGTATCCCAAATGGAAAAGAATGAGAACTAGCCTTTACTGAGCACACGGTCTCAGTGTTGATTTTTTTAATTGATACAATATTCAGCAACCATGCTGAATTGCCCTAGTTCTAACATTTGTCTCTTGGTGATTATGTTATCTTGCAAAGAAGTAACCATTATATCTTTCATTTCTTTTTCTCATCTGATAACTAAGCTCTGTAGTGCCATGTTGAATAGAAGTGATGATAGTGGGCATGCTTGTCTTATACCAGATTGTCAAGGGAAAAACTTTTGTTGACGCTTGCTATACATGTGTATTTGTCAAGTTAAGGAGTTTCTCCTCTGTTCCTCGCTTTTTGATTTTTTTTAAGTTCAATATAGTTGTTGCATCTTATCATAGACTTTTTTGAGTTTATGAGATCATGTGTGATTTATCTACTTTTAGACCATTAATGTCATAAATTACAATAACAGCTTTTCTCACAATCACCCATCTTTGTATTCCTGGGATAATTCTTCCTTGAATACAATTTATTCTTTTTGAAATATCTTCCTGGAATTGGCTTGTCAGTATTTTATTGAAGTTTATCATCTATATTCATAAGTGAAAAATGGCTTCAAGAACTATGAAGCCATTCAGATATGTGTTCCTTGAATATAGGATCTGCTTTTAGAATTTTCACTTTATCTTCCCTATTCTTACATTTTATGATGATCTGTCTTAAATGTGTGTGTTTTCTATTAATGTAATACTCTTGAGGTCTTCCAGTTTCCTTTAACTTAAAAAAGTATTCGGTTTTTTTATAATTATTCCTTCTGATTGATTTTTTTATTTTTATGGAATTTCTAGTATGTAGATATTGCTGCTTCTGTGTTTTCCATATCTCTTTTGTTTTGTATTTCCCGTCTCCTTCTTGAAACCTCCTGAAAACATCTTCCAGCTCTTGCATTCATTCTTTGATTATATTCCTACCGCCCTTCAACCTATGTATTGCTTTCTTCCTTTCAGCCACTGCATTTTCATACACAATATTTCCCAATGGTCTCCTTGTACTTACCCATTTTTATCTCCCCTGTGTATTTTTGTGGACATTTTTATGCATATCATACTATTCTGTCTGGTTCATCAGTTCTCCACGTGGAGTAGATTTTCGCTTATTGTGTTTAATAGGTATTGCATTCTCCAGTGGTCTTGTCTGATTCCCAGGGAGCTCTTTATGCTTGACTCTCAGGAAAGTACTCTTGCACCTCTGCTTCAGACACTGCTTTTCCCAAATATGTCTCCCTGATTTGTCAACGCTTCACCCTTGTGGTGTGAAAGAATGAGCAAGGAGCAGTAGGTCTGCCTGCACCTTCTGTTAACATCCATCCCACTGGTCTGGCATTTACTTCCTTGCAGTATGTTGGAGCAGGCCACAGTCTGCCACCACCAGTAGTATGGAGGAAGAAAAAGGACGGAAAGTTCGTATCCGACCTCTGCTCCACACAATAAAAGCTATTGCCTGCCACTGGTCTCTTGCCTGCCATTTTGTCTCTGTTCCTGATTTTCATGTAATTTCTCAAATGTGTCTGGTGCTCTTACTTCTGCGCTCTCTCTCTCCTTAGGTTCTGGGAGCATGCCCACAGCTTGTGCTGTTCACGGTCTTGTCAGGAACCACAATAGAGTTTTTCTTTTGTTTTGAAATAATATTATTTTCTTATATTTCTGATTGGAAAATTAGTCTGTATTTGTTGTAATAATGTGGGAAAATATTAAAATCTCAGAGAAAAAGAAAAATTACATTAATCCCAATATTAAGAGGTAACTGTTCTCTGTTCTTTCTGATGAACTATGCAGTGAATTTTGCTTAGGTCATCAAGGAGTCTACCACATGGTAATTGATATCTGCCTAAAATTCTCTCATGTGGACATACCATAAAATAT